GTCAAGGAAGACGTAGGCAGGAAGGGGTTAAACAGGGAGCCAGGACGTGGAAGGTCCCTCAGGGGCTTCTGAGTCCACAAAACCTCGAGGGAAGGGACAGGGACTGTGACTCCCTCCAGTTCAGACTAACACTTGCTGTCTTATGGGGCCAGTTTTCATTTGCAGAGAAATGGGAACAGCCCCGGGACACCGAGGTTCTGGGAGCTCTGGACCTTGGAGGCGCCTCAACACAAATAACCTTCCAGCCTGGAGTCGCCATTGAGGACAAAAACACCTCCATCTTCTTCAGGCTGTATGGCACCAACTACTCGCTCTACACCCACAGCTACCTCTGCTACGGGCAGACGCAGGCCTTGAAGAGGCTGCTGGCAGCTCTCCCCCAGGTACCCCAGCCACTGGTCATCAGGATCTGCTCAACCATTTCCCATTGCCATGAAAAATGTCTTCCACCAATTTCGGGCATGCCTGTCAAAAAAGAGTTAGGGAATTGGAAATTTTCACAAGTCCAAAAACCTTGGAGAGGCTTAGATTTTATCTACTGAACCAAAACATTCTCTCATTTGTGTGGAAGGTGGTGGTGGTTCCCTGCCAGGGCTCCCTTCTCCCCAGAGGTTGACATGTAATGTCATTTTTCATCACTTCTCAAGCCCAGCTGTATCCTTAGGTTCTCCCCTGTCCCCCTTCACTCGCCCTTCCTCAATTTCTGCCCAGAGAGAGGATTTCCAACATACCGGTATGGTAACGAAGAAGTTGGTTTTATGGATAGAGATCTGAACATGCTGGTCTTCAGCAGTAGGCGCTGGGCATGGGAGAGTGAAGGGAGGTGGTGTTGCTGCACAGGGGGACCCTCATGTCCACAGCTTGGCTGCGGGGTGAGGGCTCGATGCCGGCTCGTGCTGGTTGGAATGGGCAAAAGACCACGTCCAGAGCACGTTGCAAAGAGAAACCAGTGTCTGTTTTGGTTTGGCTTAAATGGCTTCTCAGCCTTGGCTCTCCCCTGGGTCTGGTGACCCTACAAAGGCAGAGTGGGGACAAAATGGGTCCACGCTCAGCACAGGGTGCAAACGCCCAAGGCCGTGGGCACGCGTCCATCACTGTAGTTGGTCCCTGACCACGGTGTGGTCGTGCCGTGCTTGTCCCCGTGATTCTGTGCCTGCATCCCATGGACGAGACCCCACGGGTGGTGGGGCCAGCATGCTGTGTCCTGCATCCGGGTGTGGGAACGGGTGCTCTCTGTGGGCTGGTTCTCTCCTTTCCATCCTCATCCTCAAGGCCAGGGCGATGCTAATGCCTCCCGCTCTCTCCAGGACAGCCAGACTCCCCAGCAGATATCACACCCCTGCTACCCCAAGGGCTACCAGGAGAACGTCAGCACGGCAGACCTCTATGACAGTCCCTGTGTCCATGCCCCGAGCACGCCCAGCCCTGCACAGAACCTCACGGTGACAGGGACGGGGGATCCGACAGCGTGCGGCACCGCCATCGAGAAACTTTTCAACTTCAGCTGTGGGGCCAACAGGACGTGCGGGTTCAACGGGGTTTATCAGCCGCCCGTGCGGGGACAGTTCTTCGTAAGGAGCCTCCGTCCCCGCGGCTGTGGGGGGGGCATGGAGGGTGGGAGTCTCCTCTGTCACTGGTTGTGGGAAGGGATGGGGAGGGAGGGGACCCTACAGCTGGTCCCATCTGCAAAGCTCTTCTCCTATGCTGGGAGATGGCTTCTGCCTCCTGCAATGTCCCAGCCCTCCCTGAGGGAAACGGGAAGATCCTGTCGCAAGGAGCAAGTCTGAGCTAGCTCAGAGTGCAAGCAGCAGCCCCAGGGCTTGTCCACCAGCTCCAAGACTTTCTGGCAGACCATCAAGTGGGAGCTGGATGCAGAACCCTGGGAATTACATGGGACTCTGTCCCCAGGCAAGAGGGGTCCCTGGGTCTTTTTTTCGGGTGAGGAAGAAGATGTAGTTTTTAACATCTCCCCTTATCCCCCAGGCCTTTGCTGGTTTCTACTACACCTTCCACTTCCTGAACCTGACCAGCCAGCAGTCTCTAAGCAATGTCATGTCCACAGTCCAGACCTTCTGCAAAAAGAACTGGACAGAGGTGAGAGCCCTGGGAAGGGCAGCGAGGAGCCCTGTGCTTGTCCCATCCCCAATCTCTGCCCCGGGAGCACATGCCTTGCTGTTCCCTGCGCCAGGGAGGCTTTCTGAGCATGTTTCATTCCCTGTTGCACTGCATCCCCCGACGGCCCCACAGCTGGTGGACACGTTCCCGCAGGAGAAGAAGTACCTACACACATACTGCTCCGTGGCGATTTACATCTTGACGCTGCTGCTCGAAGGCTACAAGTTCGATGACCACACGTGGAGCAGCATCCACTTTAGGCAGCAGGTAAACCCCCTGCGGGGCAGCGGGAGCGGGCATGCAGCCGCAGCCGCGTCCCTGCCCTGGCCCAAAGACGCATTCAGGGGCAGCATCCCTGGAATCCCCTGCGCCAGAAAGGTGTCCCCATCTCATGGCTGCTACCCAGTGATCCCAGCACAGCTTCACTCTTACCTGCCCCCAAACCTCAGACACCAGCTTGTTTCTCACGTTTCTCTGGGTGAACTTAAGCTAATTTTAAGGGGGTCAGAGAAGTGCAGAGCAGGATTTGGCCACTTTGGTCTCTGATGTTGGGCAGAACTGACCAAGAACTGACATCAGAAAGGTGAGGGTGGCCCCATGACCCATTTGAAGCAGAATGTGACCAAATTTAAAGGATCATGGGGGAGGAGGAAAGCTCAGATCCAAAATCATGTGCAGGTCACAGAGGCACATCTAGACCAAAGCAGTCATCCATGTTCCGCTGCCCTTTAGCCCTTGGGAAGGGGGGAAAGGAAAGCTGCTCTGTGTAACCGGTGCTGGTGAGATCAGGTTCACCACAGCCAGGTCCACGCGTGAAACCACAGCGGGGGCAGCTCACAGGAGAGGTGCCCATCAGTCCCTTGCACCGAAGCTACCGGTGCCTGGGAGAGGCACTTTTGGATGATCTCTCTCACCTCAGGCAGCAAACACGGACATCGGCTGGACGCTGGGCTTCATGCTAAACTTCACCAACATGATCCCCTCGGAGGCTCTGGAACACGTCAAGGGGCACCAGCCCAGTCTGTGGGCAGGTGCCGTCTCCTTCATTGTGCTGGCCATGGTGGCAGGCCTGGTGGCCGTTTTCCTCCAGTGTTTCTGGAAAACCAAGTAGCTCCCAGCCTCCCGACTAGGGGCATCCTGCCCACTAAACCGGACAGGGAAGCGGGTCAAAAGAAGGTGGAAGGGGGAGAAGAATGAGGGCATTAGACCCATCTCCATTGCTCAGGAGGTCTAATTGGGTCACCTCTGTAAAGACGTCAAAGTTGACAAAGGTGTCTTGAGCTCCCTAAGTACCTCCAAGAGGAAAAGGCTCCTTTAATCTGGCTGACAAAAGCTGACTGAGACTTAGTGGCTAGATGAAGCCAGATAAATTCAAACTAGAAATAAAATCTTTCTTGTTTTTCAAATACAGAAGCGTGCTCTGAATTCACCAGCCTAGCACAGTTTCCTTGGCACTTCCAGTCCTGCTGGGCTGCTCTCCCGACAGCCGTGGGAGGCAGTCGGTGATGGCAAGCAGTGGTGGCCACCCAAACGCTGAGGAGAGGGGTGACTTTATCTGTATCTTGCCCTGTGCAAGATATGCAAGATTTCTGTAGTATGTGGCAGAATATCTTCCCAGAGACACCGTCAGCTGTCTTTAAAAATATTTACTGGCATATCTCAGCAGAAAAATACAAGTGGAAGTTGATTTAAGAGCTGCCAACTCTGGCTCAGGGTTTATTTTATATTCAAGTTACATAGCCCAGCTTTGTCAGACACCAAATCCATAGCAGGTTCCAGCTCCAGGCACTTGAGTGTTTTATTTAGATCAGCGGAGCCCAGCACAGCTCAGCTGCAGGAACCGGACGGTCGTTTCAGTCCTTCCAGCTCCAGCCACCAGCCCGCCCTCCCCTCAGCCCCTCCAAGGCTCTGCCAAAGCCCAGGGCTGGGCTGAGCAGCGGTGTTTCCACAACTACCGCTCCTCTGTGCTGCAAGGCCCCTGCCCACACAGCATGAAGCAGCAACATCCAGGCAGGACTCAAGAGTTTAAGAAAAGAACCAAAGACATCTGGGCTGAGAAATGCTCAGAGCCCTTTGGCTCTGGCAGATCCATGGGGTATTTGCTGTGGAAGACGATGCATGATCCTAACCCAAGGCGTTATCCCACATACCCCACTGCAAACTGGTGACAAAAGCCTTCCAGAAGAGCAGCATCTCTCTCTTTGGTGGCAATAAGGATGTGTGGCCCAAGGGCCTGGGCTCTGCCTCCTGCGCACAGATGGCTGCCCTTGGCTTCATTAGAGTGAGGCTCAGCCTTCCCAGCCTGAACTTGAGCCACCAGGGAGAGGGGGTGAAGACCTCCATCCAGAGAAACCTCTTCCCACCCAGCAGTCTGAGGCCCTAAGGTCTGAGTTGCCACACGGACATTTCCCATAGCCAAACACCAGATCCCTCCCCCTTCTCTCTGCCCTGCACAGACACATCTTTGGCAGGGTAAGCACAGAGGTAAAAATGCCATGTCTGGGAACAGGCTGTAGAAAATGCTGTCGGACTGCTGGAACTGAGCCCATGGGATCTGTGGGCGGGGGACAGCTCCGGCCCAGGTTCAGCA